GCTGTCCCGCCGGTCCCTGGCCGGGAGCGCCGCGGGAAGGGGCTGGGAGCTGGGAAGGGGGACCCCGAGCCCGCGGACCGGGGGCGCTCAGGCCTTCAGCTGGTGCCACTGTGCCACTGCCTGCCGCGGGCGGGCGATCATGTCCTTCCAGTGCTTCACCTCGCCGGGACCGCTCTTCCAGGACAGGTAAATCTGCGGGAAACGCATCCCTGGAGCCGCCACGGCCGCTCCATCCCCCGACCCGCCGCCCGGTGCTGATGCCTTCACCCCCCAAACTGCTCCAGCCCCGCTTTTCCGGGCTTGGCGCGGAGCCGGGCTATTTTTATCCCTCGATTTTCCATATGGCGCCGTGGAAAAGCGCGTGTGCCAGCTCTCGCTGCTGCTGCTGCCACCTCCGGGAGCCGGTGCCACCGCTCCGGCTCCGCGGATCATCGCCGGAGAGCCGGGATGGAACAGCGCGCGCTGCTAATTATGCGATCAAAAGTGATTAGCGAGCCTCAGGCCATGGCAGGGTTTTAACAGAGAGCGGGATATCATGGACACTGCCTGTCCATCCCTGGAATCCTGGCTCTTGGATGTGTCCACACCGGGGACGCCGCCACCTCCGCCCCTGCCCGGCAGCCCATCAGCGCTGATCCGGGGATTTATTTAATGGATTTATCTCAACTGCTGCGTTTTCCCGGTCCCAGCGCGGCGTGTGGGGATCGCGGGCGGAGATTATGGCGCTCATTTGTCATCTTTGTGCTAATGATGTTTTCATGGATAATTCCGCCACTCCCGTCTCCGGGAGTAATCCCGTGGGGTGGGATCCATCCCGGTGTGGCTCCCCATGCCCTATCCCTGCTTTTCTGGGAGAACTCCGGCCCTTTGTGGATGTGACACCCAGCACGAGGGGTCCCCACCGCGCTCCACACTGGAGATGGCACCAGGCGTTGGCAGCCCCGGGCCTGGCTGTCCCCAGTTCCCACCTGGGAGTCCCTCGGGCGTGTCACCCACCTTGCCGATGACGTCATTGCGGCTCAGCCTGTCCTTGTCCATGACGGTGATGACGATGGTGGTCTCGCGCAGCCGCTCCGTGGGGATGTCGAAGGCGAAGGACTCGTTGAAGACGGGGTTCAGGCACCGCTTCATCACCACCGTCTTCTTCTTCTCCACCCGCTTGTCCTTGTACATCAGCCACACCTTCACGTAGGGATCTGGCGGGAGAGGAGCCGCTCTCAGCCCCGGATGGGAGCCAGGAAATGCCACCCGGGATCGGGGGCAGCCGGCGCCGTACCTGAGGTGCCCCCGATGTCCATGGCTTTGAGGTTCCGTGCCTTGATGATGTTCACCACGATGGAATTGGCCGAGGGATTGTAGCACAGCGACAGCAGCAGCTCCCCACGGCTTCCCTGCGGGACACATGTGTTCCCTGAGGACACCCACGCCCCCCAGAGCTCCTCTGTGGGAGCGGGGTGCTGGCATGGGACCCCCCCACTGGAGCAGCCCAAGGGTGGGGTTTGGGAAAGCACGGAAAATCAGGGCAGGAGGAAACAGGGCCACACCCTGTGGGACTTTTTCTGGTCTTGCTGGAGGCAGGAGAAGGAAAAAACTTTCATTTTACGTCCACCTGAAACAGTCTGGTTTGACCCAAAATGAGACTTTGGGCTACTTAATTTAAAATCTGAGAAGAGAAAAATCTCCGTCAGATATTGAAACAGAAAATGTCCCCGTTGGGATTGGGGTGGTCCTGTTGGGACTCTGCAGGGACAGGGGGTCACCTGCCTTCCCCAGGGGGATGGGAGGGGTCCAGGGCCTTACACTGCCATCACTGCAGGGCTTCAGGTCCTTCCAGAAGGTCTGCATCTGGGTCAGGTCCACCTTGTTGAGCGGGATGGACACCTCTCCGATGGGATCATTGCGGCTGAAGCGGTCGTAGTCCAGGACCTGGAGGTACAGCACCCGCTGCACCACCTTCTCATAGGGGAACCCTGTGCCGGGGAAGGAAAAGCCAGAGGGATGAGGAGCAGTTCCAAAACTGCTCCATCGTTCCTGTCCTGGTGGCAAGACCCTGGCACCAGGCAGAGGATGTGGAGCAGCCCATGGCACAAGGAGCTGCTGCCACATTAATTCCCACATTTGCACCCACCCATGGAGCCTTCCAAACCTTCCCCCACATCCTCTTTATAGGATGCACATCCAGCCTGGCCTCGGTGGCTTGGCCAACCCATTGCATCACCAACAGCCACCACGCTGGATGCTTGAGCTGAGCTGAACCCCAGGAGGATCCCACGAGGCTCTGCTCCCACTCTGATCCCCTCCAGTCCATCCCAATCCATACCTTCGAAGAGGAAGGTCTCATTCCAGTGTGGGTTGAGGTTCTTCCTCTTGACCTTGGTCTCCAGTTTGTGCTTCTTGTCGGGGAGCAGGTAGATCTTGACGAAGGGGTCGCTGGTGCCGCTGAAGTCCTTGGCCGGCAGCTCCTGCGCCTTCATGATCTTCACGGTCAGGGTGGACTCCTGGAAGTTGTAGCCGACGCTGAACTGGATGCGGCCCAGGTTCTCCCGGCTGACGCCTTCATGGCCCTCGTCATCCTCTGAGCCCGGGGAGAGCTGCGGGAGGGGGAAAGAGGAGGGGGGTGAGCGCCGCACCGAGGGCTGGCGGGGACCCGACCCCTGTCCTGCCGACCCCAGCCCCGCCAGTTGTCAGGGGACATCAGCCTCTCCCCGGCTTCCTGCTGCTCCCACCGCCTCCGACGCCTCCTGGCTCAGCGCCACTCGTCCCGTGGAACGGGAGCTCCAATTAGCCAAATTCCTCCTGACAGCGCATCCCTCACGTGTCCGGCACGACTCGCTCCCTCGTGCCCGCCCGGGGGACACGTCCGCGCTGCGCCGGCTCAGCCGACAGGGACTTGGCACAGCGTGCAGGGACGTGCCGGAGGGCTTGTGGATGGCACAGGGAAGAGCTGGGAGGGTTGGATACCGACCGTGGAGACCC